TCAAGAAGCAAAGTGAACAAGGTGTTGTACAAAAAATTTATTGAGGAATGATTCAAAATCTATAATCTGATAAATACTTTATAAAACTTCTAAAAGAATGCATCCCAGTACTGGAATAAAACTTATTAACAGCTCGGACTGATATGGCAATTAGTTGTTTCTTTGAAAATCTAAGATTTGATTCGAAAAAAAAAATGTGGAAATGCATCGAATACACTCGGATTCACTATTTTCTTGAAGAATAACGCGGTTCGCATGGAGATTCGACTTCTTTGTCAAGTTTATACAAGTTGTTGTTCATGGAAATAACACCCTGGAAAGCATAACTTAGCATATTCCAATTAGCTCTTCCACTTACTTGGTAATCAGGTGTTACTCCACCTAAGTAATTGTTTTGAGTGAACAAAAAACGGATATCTGTGTGCAAAGCAGGACGACCTCTCTTGTCCGTTGCCAATCTTAAAGAACACGTCGGTTTACAACTTGAAGTTGGAACTTGAAAATACCTCAGATGAAGTAAGTGCAGTAATTTCTTCTCTCTTTCAATCCCTTCCACCTTCCGTAACGTGTAACGTTTTCGGATGAATGTTTGTGTGAGAGGTGGCATATCCGAGACGTCATATTCCATGTCGAATATCACAACAGCAACACCTCGGGGATCAATCAAAGTCTGAAGAGCTCGATAAGAGGGGAATAGAACAATGAACTCACAGCTTGAATGGTACCAGATTTTGGAATTAAACAGCCTTTCCGTCCATACATGGATAAAGAGGAAACACCCTGGAAATGAGATTTTTTCAAACAAGCGAAGATAGTTTGCTCACCAAAGCAGGCTTAGTATCATTCAAATCAAAAATGAGAACTTTCACTGGCAAGTCTGATAAAGGAGAACAAGAGGTTCCAGTAGCAACTGCAATTGAGATATACAAAAGAGAACCGATCGTTGTGACTCACCTAATTTTAAAGAATAACCTTCTACAACTTTAGCTGGTTCTAAACGACCCTTTAAAGCACTTTCTTCGAAACTTCCTAATAAACATAAACTCTGTGGACAAGCTCTTCTCAAGCTCGTACCGGCCATACCACTGCAACAAACAATGTATGAGATAAACCAATCTTCTTATAAACACTCACATTCGTTGTCTAGCAGCACCGGGTATGGGACTAGGATGAAGGAACCGTAACTTTGGAGAATTAACTCTCGTTCGTTGTCGAGCACGGTACCCCAGAGATTCTTTGAATGTGTTCGTAAGCTCTTCTACCATATTCGAGCTGTGCACGACAGGATCGATTGAGCTAACTGTTTCGTCGTATTTTCCTTGTTTGGGAGGAGGTCCTTCAGCAGGCAGTTTCAAAACTTTGTGTTTCAACACAGAAAGGTCAGGGTTGTGAACACTGCTCTTTCTTATGGGACCTGCTGACGTGGAGCTGAAAAAAAAAGAAAATCAGGAGAAACCATGGGAAACTAACCGTCCGAGGAAGCAGTACGGACTCAACTTCGGCATTCCTTCAGATTTTAGATAATCAACTCTAAGAGATAAAGTAACTCTATCTCCCAGATTACAGATGGGAAATTCGTAAGAGTGTTTTGTTGAATTAGAAACACTAGAGAGTCGACCTGTGAGCTGCCTTCTGCAACAGAAACGAAAAATCAAAACGACCGAACCAAAATTGACTAACCTATACAATATGCAAGGATCGATAGATGCATTACTTATCCAGATATTCAGTTGTGACAGAGGAAGAAAGGAAGAGATTGCGCTTTTCAGATCAGTTGAAGGAGCAAAGAGAGAAGGGACCTCAAACTGAAACCAAAACTTAAAACCATATTGAAAAGTGTGCTTACCTCTGTGGAAGAACTGAGTGTGAATGTCCAAACTTCTAAAACGAGAGCACAACAACATTCTGATCCACAGTTATTATGTACAAGAACGGACTGAAAGAGGAAGTTAGAGCTTAGGATGTACAACATTTACAATAACTTACCTCTACAACGCATTGCGGGCTGTTATGGTCGAAAAATTTCGCTTGGATTTGCCCTACTTTTTCATTTATGTCAAAACGTTGTTGGGAGTTAGTGGATCTTGTTGAAGAAATCAAAGAAATGATTTCTTTAACAGCAGAAGGAAAGGAGTTAATAGGCATTATAGAACAAGGAGCAGACTATACAAAAAATAAGTTAGCAGAAGGGGGGAATGAGGAAACACCTAAATTATACAGGAAGGAATGGGGAGAGAAGTATGTGGGGGCGATTAAATATATGTGAAAAGGGAGGATGACGAGGATGAAAACTGTTGGTGGCTGATGACTGAGCAGACTCAATGTCTCGAAGCACGAAAGTGGCTACAGAAACATGAGACAAATCTTAAGGAAAAGCATTCCACTGCTCCAGCAGTTTGTGCTTATCTGTAAATACAAGAATTTAAGAAAAATGCAACAGAAACTGAAATAAGATAATAATCTGCGCTCTGTGACGCTATTCAATCGCAAAATAAACACTCAACATTGATTATATTTCTTTTAAAACTTATAACAAAACAACGCAAAGCAATAATATAACAAATATTTCTGAAATCATTATGAATATACAACTAGTTCTTCCTAATTTGAGCACAATACTAATAACAACGATTACCGATTGACCAGACTAGCGCGCAGACGCAGCACTACGGAAGATGCGACGACGCGTTTGTCCAGTACTATGTCGTTCTTTCTCGAACTTCTGCATCTCTTCCTCAACAGCCAGTTCATGTTCTAACGTTGAGTTGGTTCTATAATCTGCGACCAGATCATAATATTGATAGTCATTTATCTGCAATAGGTTTTAGATGTTAAACTCTCTTCATTTTCGCAACTCACTTTTGTTTTGTGGAACTTCCTCTTGAACCACGGAGTAGCATTTGTCCAGCTGTCCTCGATTCCTTTGCAGTCATAAAGCTCCCAACGCCTTGTCCAAGGGGGTTGGCGAAGTTTCACCTGTGGAATGAATGAACATGAAAAATATCAAATGAGCTCATTTACCTTCAAATTATTCACAGGCACGGGTGTTCCAGCAGGATGAGCGATAGGCTCAAGGTGGAAGTCAAAGGTACTGTACTTAGCCTCTGCATCAACTAAGTATGAAAGATCATCATCTAAGCGTTTTTCTAGTTTTAATGTCTCGATCTTTTTTATTGTGGGATTGTATAATTCGTACATCACTTCGACACCTAGAAAACAACTGTGAACGCTCGTAAAATTTTGAAATCCAACCTTGCCCGTCGATGACATTTCTCAAAGTGATTTGGTGCTTCAATCCTTCACGTTCCCTCCTGATACAAATTCCAACGAAACGATGTTCTTTACTTCCCAAGTTAGGATCTACAGTTGTCACCGCTACTATGGATCCTGATTACAAAAACCATTGAAGAGAATAAAAAAAGATATTGCTCACCAACATAAAACTCTGGAATATCAATGTTCATTCTCCGTTCCAACATGTCTTTTCTTTGGAGTTCTTCGAACAAAGCATTTCTACGATTCCAAACAGGGGATTGCAAGAAGTCGGGATAAATTTGACTGTAACAGGACATCATCTTTAAATACTACTCCGAAAAAAGAGGTGACTCACGGGAATTCAGGGATATGTTGTAACTGCTTCATTTTCTTCTTAAGGTCAGTGCTTCGAGTGGACGCCCTATCGAACTTGGAAGACCTTGATGAGGCTAATTGGCAACTAGCCGTTGTGGAGAGCCTCCTTGAAGCACTTATTAAGGTATTACCCAGAGACATCTGAAACAAAACGGTAATGAGTTATAAGTGAAATTTGAGGTTGATGGCGGAACAACCGTTCCTGCCAACGGCGTCAATTAAAATGAAATATATTGCGGCAGATAGTATGAAACGTGAGTAGCGTATGCTAATTTCCGATAGGCTTAGACGCAGCTAGCTAATACATAATAAGAATAGATGAACGTATATACGCATATGGCGATCAATATCCAATCCTCTAATTTTAGGAAAGCAGTCAGATGAATGACGCAAGAAAGGAAGGAAAGAGAAGAGTATGAAGTGTGTGTGTGTGAGAGGAAGAGGGAGAGAATGAAAGAGATGGATAAAGAGAAAAAAAACTGAAAAGCAATAGTCAAAAAGAAAATGAGATATCAAGAGCGTGTTAACGCTGAGTTGAATTGGAAAAAGACGTTAAGAACCCATTTTTAACAAGAAAAAACTAAAACAATATTTACAACCCAGTGAATGCAATAAGTACACGATTTCTATCACAATAAAGATTTTAGTGAATCATGCAAGTGAGATCGGAGTTTGGGAAATTTTTTCAAATGTAACAAATTACTCGTTTTGATGACTCGAAAACTATTTTGAGCAAATCATCTTAAGCACTATACACAACCGTAAAGAAACACCACATATGAAGAAAGATATAAAAATATGAAGCTAACTAGGCGGGAACGAATCCTATGAATAATCTTCTCAACGTGCAACATCACCATCTGTATCTGTACTACGAAGAGTGTACTCCGAGTCACCATTAGATGAAGTCGTACTACTGTCATCCGACTCATAATCTCTGCAACACTTGCTATGTAGGATTAAGTCGAAATCATTCGAACCTTTCTCGTAACAGTGGCCACATGTCTCTAGCTCCATCCATTCTATGAATTTCTCGCCATTCTGCATCTCTCGTAACAACAGGCTCTTGTTCTACCGAACTAATTGGAGGATCGGCAGTGATTTCCGTGTAGCATAGGGGGCAGACCTTAATTAATAACGTATACTAAGCTTGAGGATTTTAGTCTCACTTGTTTCACTGTAAGCCATTTGCGTAAACAGGCGCCATGGAAGTAATGCTTGCAGGGAGTAACACGTGCTTCTTCTACCATCTCCATTATGCAGATAGCACATACATCTCCTCGATCTATAGGAAATAGGATAAAAGAATATGCCGCACTACCAACCTTTCAACTCAGTTCCATTAGCTTTGGCCAACTGACTTATGTTTTTCGTTGCCTGTCTTCTCGATACGACCATCGTATGCAAATCGTCCATTCTGTAGAGATTTAGTAAGAGAATAGTTGAGAGTTAACTTACTTATTGCAAATATTGATCACGATGTGGAATATTATAATTCCTAGAGTCACAATGGTCCAATCTCCTGCAATCGTGTGCTCTCTTCTTTCATTAGATGTGTGAACTGTATACCTTGCACAACCAGAAAACTTCCATAACCCACAACAATCATAGCAACTAACAGCTCGATGCATTTAGTAACAGCTTTCACTCCAAACAGGAGATCATCACTCTGCTCCCAAGGTTCCGCGGAACGTGACTGGAATGAGATAGAGCGTTGCTAGGCTCGGATAAGATAAGGATTTACGTCAACCACTCCAATAAAGTATTGTGATATAGCCGATGCGCTATGTAAGCAAACTAGAACACTGTGTGAGCAAATTATGATACACCTTAAACATGTGTTTGAGTTTTGATGTCAATCTAGGAATACCATAAATCCAACGGTAAGAATATGAGAATAGAGTAGCACATGCCTATGGGAGCTAGGAGTAGGAACGTTGCTAGTATTAGACATCCCAAATGGCGACTTCGATTACTAGAGGGACAAGCGGCTAAAACCAGCATCTGAGGTTCAAGAAGTTGATAAAGAGAGTGAAGTAAGGCGGACGCAACTGAATATATGGATGAATATTGAATAAACTGTACAAATACCTATGAAAAGAGCGAGACCCATCAAAAATGCCTTTTTCTCAGTTTTCATACCAATCAAACTAGTTTGAGCACATAACAGTACTAACACGAAAGCTTCAGCATATCTAAAAAAATCATTAATCATAGCATACTTGAAGTTACCCAGAGTTGTTCAGAACATGTCCATGATCTCTCCGTCCACCAACAGCTAACTGAGCTGCGTCTACAATCCATTTAGAAAGGTAACCGACAGTGAGTGCAAGAGATAGGAGTGATAGGGGAGTGTTTGTACTTTCAGCTATTCCAGCTAGGAGCACGGGTCCAGCTTCACGCCACGTGCGACCCTATAACAATAACAGTTTAAGAAAACATGGAAGCGGCTTTCATTTCTGACGTAATACCAGCGTGAAGCGGTTGATTACAACAAGTGCCGTTACTAATATGTTACTACAGTAAAGAAATTATCTCACCTTCTCAAAAATTTCAACATAAACTCTAATCCCAAACAACGTAAGCCAGGCAAATGTGAGAAGTTCAGCTAATCTCAAGCGACGCCAAATTTCCGCGCATCCTGTAAAGACATGCGCTTGAAATCGAAGAGAAGAAAACCTTACCTGAGGCTAAGCCTTGATTAACGAATATATTCTTGAGGCTACGTAATGTGCTTCCTAAACCTTGAAGCATTTCAGGAACAAGATATAAGATGTATACGCACATAAACAACATCGCTAGTGAGCACGAGATATTATGAGCTGAAAACAGGCATTGTCGTATGAAATCAAAGGACTTTGTATACCATAAATCAACTTATCTAGGGCGATTCCACACATACGAGCCAAGATAGGTCCAGTGAACATGGCCAAACAAACTCTTCCAAAATCATTTTCGATTCTCAGAATGAACGCTTGGAAAACAGCTAAGAACACCTTAATAAATGAATGATGAGTAATAGAGTTTACGAACAAAACCTGTGCAAGAAAATGAAACCCATGTCTTTCAAGTTTCACGAAGTCATCCAAATGAACTTCTTGTTCTTTAGAAGACTGTTCAAGAAAAACATAAATGCAGGATAAGTAGTGAGCAAATGCGAAAACAAAAACGCTCATGGCGCATGCATACATACGAAACAATTTTGAAAGTGGAAGAGATATGAGTAGAGCACTGATTATTAGAACTAGAATATGATATCATGGACAGAATAAAAAAATGAATTACCTGAATTGCTTAGAATGATAGCAGCTGATTGGTCGAAATCTCGGCGATGGACAAAATCCAGGATAGTTGAAATATCGAAGTAAGAATTGAAGGGAGCCTTAAACAACACGGCTCATGAGGATCAATATGTTTTCTTTGATACCTTAGAAAGCATTTCTTGTGTAATCTCTTCAAAGCTCACATCTTTGTTCCTCCACCATAGTTCAAGAAGCAACAAGCCAGGCAAACGAAGCACAATATCAGAAATCTCTTCTGCTGCTACTTTGAGCATATTAATGCCGTTTGTCATTTGCCCGACGTGATCAACACGCCGCCAGCCAAAGTAATCCATTATGTATAATACAGAACCGGGTTTGAGCTCATTTGAGTACCAGCCTGAACGTATTGATATGCAATCATGTGAACGGTTTTTTCTCAATGTTACTAATCACGAAGGAGAGATAGTGCAAGCAATCGTCTTCCCCCCATCAACGTCAACAAACAAGAAGCATTTTTTTCGCGAACATAGATGAATCGATAGCATATCATGTGAGAAACATATATCTTATGTGGAACATAATTAAATAAGAATCAGAACACTAGCAACAGTTTATTAATTGAGTTGTTATTGCTTACAAATAACAAGAAGTGCTCATGAAATAGAATACGCAAATGAGCGTATAGTGTTGTTTACATTTATCAACCATATCTGAAAATATGCATATAGTTAGTCTTCGATCTTTATGTAAAGGCTACTTGTTCCAACTCTTTGACATTTCTCCTCACATTTCCACTCAGAATTAGAATGATTTGCTTGATAGGCTTTCTTTGTCATGTTAATACGTATCTTTAGCATTTACATTGTGTAATACATGCTCATATCTTTCTCATTATCTTCGTTTAAGCAACATACTTCTTCCATTTTCAGAAAATACGATCAAGTTGAAGGAGTGCAATGCAAGAAATCAACGAACTCTCTTTCCGACGATTGAAACTTGTACATGATTTCGTTAATTGTCAACAAACACTCGCACAAAAACTGAATTTAGCTGCTGGAGATTATTGTAAGGCGAAGTAAGTGAATGATCTGTTGACTTGAAATCAGTTTGCACAGATCTATTCATGGATTCACACTCTCATCAGTCGTACAACCTCATGAAGAAATGGAATTGATCCCTAGCGTCAGGTATTCTACAGCTTCTCTCTCCTATGATTGAGTCTTTCTAGAATTTTAGTTGACAAAAAGACTTTCCGTTTGAAGCAGGAGGAAGACAGCGACTCATCACAGGTTTGACTTCATCCCGTGCTGCTTGTAAGCCTTTCTACTTCAGGTGAAAAAGCGAAACAAGTCAAAGAAAAAAACAGAAGAAGAAAGCGAAGAGAAGAAATCAGAATCAGAAAAGGAAACTAAGGAGAAGAAGGTTGGTCAGTATCGTCCTTTCGGTATACTGGAACCGACACCTGCCAAAAGCGCTCGAAAAGAAATGAGTGAAGTAATGACAGTGAGTAACTTGTTGTATAATATAGTCTGAAACGGAATGATTCAGACTGTTTGTGAATTGGCATCCATCAGAGCTGAAATCAAAGAGGTCGATAATGCTATGGAAAAGTTAATGGATAGCTTTAAGAAGGACAAAGAATTATCTGCTTTATTATCATCGATGAAAGTCTCCAATTAGATTGTTTTCCAGTATATTCATAATAAATAATCAAATAAAGTAAATAATTCATTCAAATTGTCATAAGGAGAGATCGCATCAACGGATGATTCCACGTTGTGTCAGGTTATCAGAAAGTTTTAATGTTAATTGCCTTTAACTTGGTTGCGAAGCATGTGGAATATGCGTTCCTTCAACCAATCCTTGTTATGTGGGATATATGTGGCTGTGTCCTTAAAAAGCAGTTAGCATGAAAGAAGTTCTAAGTTGTGGTACCATGTTGAAGACCATACAACTGAGATCCGAAAGCTTGTCAATGAATTCAAAAAGGTTCGACACATCGTAAGTGATGCTGGCGGAGGCAGGATTCTGCTTTTTCAAGAACTCTTCATAGATTTTGCAGATACCTTAAGTGAGGTAGTGCAAAAAGGAACATCAGGTATCTAACAACCTTCTAAACATTCTGTAGTCGTCTCGTAATCAGACCATGTTCGTGAATCTGCTCTAGCAGTTGGTTGAATCAGCAGGATTGTATGGGTTGACATTGGCTCTAAAAACCTTAATTGAAATCATTAAATAGTACGATACCTGCTATGTTTAACTATAATATAAGAAGAAACATAAATAAAGATCATGAAAATTACAATTTACACAGTAAGTAGTTTTCCCGCTTTGTTCTTATTTGAATGGAGGATTGTGTAATGCACGCACCACTTGGGCTACTACCGTATCCTCCACCGTGAACAATGTTGTGAAAATGTAATTCAACCTCTTCACGTACTTTGAATATGCAATATGGATACAACTTTTGTATTAATTATATATATATATATATATATAATATGGTCTTGAAGATCCACGACGCTCTTCAGTATGGAAAGATCTGCTTGAATGCTCAGCTTGAATATTACATGGAAAGTTCCTCGTTAGGATCACCGTTTTACCCATGCAATGCTTCCTATCGAAGAGTTGTCTATTGAATCAGAGAAATCATGTACAGTTGGTATATATTTTCCGAGCAATACTCTCAACTAGGAGCAATAACATAGCATTGCTTGAAGCTTATATTTTATAGAAGCGATTGATGGTTGAAGCAAACTGAGTGTTGCTCCCAACCCTGAAGAGAATGCTCCATCCACGTCTTGATCTAATCCATCCTCCTTATTATGTTTTTGTGATTAAGAGCTGAAGATAATAACTGACGATTGAATGTTTTTTTGGAGGTTGTGTACATACATAGTTATCGTCTGTGAATGGAAACAGCAAACGATTGCTCTGTTTGATCTACTACTTGAAGACTACTGTTTTGCTAACCGTATCTTAAGCATATCATGTATCAACGAAAATAGCTTCTGTGCCGTCATACGGCTTCATACACTCATATATATCATATTATATGTGCTTCTCTCATTATACGTCTTGACTCGTTACCAAGACTGTTGACGAATTCGCATAGCCTCTTGTGCCGAACAAGAACATTTCGGTCTTCCTGATTCAAGAGCCATTCATTCGTTTTAGTTTCTGTTCGGCAACATGTAGATAAGAAAGTCAAAAAATATTTGTTTTTTTTTGTTTTCATTCGACTATGCATATCTTTATAAGTATGCCATCGTTACGAGGATCAGTCTTCTTACGTTCATGATGAAGGTCCTTTTTCTCGTAAGTTGCACCTGTGTCAAGCACTCTAACATGCATTCCTTGTTCAGACTCTTCTTGCCTCCGCAGTAGTCATGGCTGCAGGTAACGGAAGATTTTGACAATAACTGAGTGTTAAAGTTTCAGTTCATCCTGATTATGTGTATAAACCCAGTGAATGCAACAATGACTTCGAAGAACCGAAACAGTGTGTCCATAACCACACCTGTAATATGTATTGGAATAGCAAAGAACATGTTCGATAGAGCATGTAGCATCTTTGTTAAAGTTGGTGATATTCCAGATCAGACCGTTTCCAGCGAGTAGTTGTCAAGGGCAAGGCTGTGAGTGTATCTCCAACTATTTTCGAGATGATAAAACTTGGAAGTGTATCCCGAAGGATGACTGTGAGAAGTCTCCAGAAGTAATTAAACGTGAAGAAATGATGGCCGAGATGCTTAAAAATAGAGATTGACTTAACTGTATAAGCTTGTTGTATCCAAAATTTTCTGTAATAAAGATTACGTAAGATATCTGGAACGACACAAAACAACAGATAAGATGCATCACTCTGCAATGAAAGACAAACTAAATGTTTCGAGTAAACCAAAAAAAATATTTGCTTCTCTCTGTTTACCTTTGGAGTCCAAACTCCTTTATCAGAACTATCAGGGAGTTTCCTTTTCTGTTAAGTTACAGCTGTTGTGTCAAGTTAAATGTCTTCTGAAACTGACTTTTCTTGTTCAGTCATGACGGATATTGTGCGAGAAATTTCCTGAAATGATGAAGAAAAAGTGAGCTAAGCAGATTGGTAGAGAGCAAGGTTGTCCATGCAACGAAGAATATCGAGGACTTGATATATGTATTGCCTTGTTGTGATCCTTCATGTAGAGACTCTGACAGCGTGTTATTTGAATGATAATCTCATCCAAAAGAAACAAACAAGGTAACCCAGATGAAGGATGTAGCCACGAAATGCGAATGTAAAACTAACTGATGAATTCATGAATAAGGAGCATTCTTACAAACTGTCTTGAACCGAAATGACGGAAGTCGAGTGCGTATTCTGCTGCTGAAACTGAGAAGGAAGGGAAGGAAGCCTAGTACCTTGCAGTTTACATGAAAGTATTGTTTGATGACACTAGTAACGGTATAGCCAAAACATTGTTTCTTGTTTGATTGAGATATCGGTAAAAGAAACAATCTTGAAAACTGAAAAAACAAACATAATCGATGTGAAAAATATTTGTTTTACCTTGTTTTCTGTGGAGTCATGAATGTCTTTATAAGGATGGCATTCTCCTACAGGATCATCCTTCTTAAATTCATCATGAAGTTCCTTCCACTAGTAAGTTGCCTTATTGATACAATCTAATGTCTTTTCTTTGATAGCTTTTGATCGTCGTTGCAACAGCCATGGCTGCAGGTAAATCTGGAAATAGTTATCTTGCAGATTATATGCTTTTCAGTTGAGTACGGCAAGGATAACGAACCAGGCGACTGTCCAAACGCAAATGAGGAATGGAGCGAATGTATGGGAGAAATGGATCAGTCTTGCGTTTTAATGCGCGAAATCGAAGCAGGAGTTTGAAAGTTTCCTAAGGAACACATGAATATCCGAATCATTCCAGTTTGGTCATCCAGACGCAACTGCTTGCTATCCCGGTTGTATTTGCGTGCGCGGCTACTACCGTGATAATGACAAAGTGTGTATACCCGAAGAAAAGTGCGAAAAACCTCAGAGTGTGATTGATCGTGAGAATTTTATGAAACTCCCACTACCTGAATAAAGAAGTATTTTTTATATTCTTGAAAGTTTGCAATGTAACTCCACATCCAAATGGTTACCCTTAAGAGTTCAATTCATATACATGATAGCACAAATGAACAATTAGTTCATCAGGTGACCAAAGCAAGTGGAGCTCCGTTCTCATTTCATTTCGGGAAGATATACTTGGAGTAAAGTCAGAATAGTGAAACGAGTGATACTGACAATACGTTAACACCGG